GAATAGAAGTCTAGAATAATGTCTGAAATAAAACTAACCTTGTATCACATGAATCATTGCATGTTTCTCATATATCAGTCCGCCGCTGCCAAGCTTCCTATCAGGAAGTACAACTCGCTGCTGCTGCTCAGACATAAATCCTTCTAATGCAAGGCTGGTTTTACTTCTAAAAGTATTATATCAACACAGAGATTTACTTCGACAGTCTGGCATAATAATATATTTGCTTCAGGTGTTTTGTGGAGTGAGTAAGACTGTTTTTAGTGGCAGGATAACTATGGCCATTGACATGCACTAGCCTAGCGCCAGTGACCTCTGCAAATACAAGGACTGGATGGAATATTTAAAAAAGTGTCTCCACACGTCTCCAACACTCTGGCTCACTAGGAAATTAAGTCCTATGTCCAAAATTCCAGACTGTACCTTTCAGTAGTGATTAAATGTGTACATTAAACAAAAAACAAACAAAAAAGAGGAAAGGTTATGCTGCACTACCACATTACTTTTATTTTTATTTACTTAAATTTGTGTATGTGTATGGAGTGAAGGGCTAGGTTAGTGGACAGGGAACTTTGTTGTTTTATCCAATTCAATTAAAAAAGTCTGTCAATTTTCATATGAAACACGTGAAGAACTGAAATTGTGTTCCTCACTCCCAATCTTCTAATTAAATAAATAATAATAAATGGAAAAGTCCAAGTGTTCTTTGGGAAGACACATATATTTATGTGTTGTTTTATATTTTTATGTTTTGTTTTCATGTTTATTTTTGTATTTAGTTTTAATGCTATATTTTTTGACTCAATTTCGATACAAAGGAATATAAAACATTAAATCATAATTCTTTCTTTTCTCTTCCCATGTGGTCCGGGGTCCTGTAAGCCTATATTTATTTTTTGTTTTAACACTGGCGTTAAAACTTTACGACGTTGTACCAAGAAAATAACTTTTTACCACAGAGTTATAAAAAATAATGTGTGGTTGTTCAGATTTAGCTGAAGCATGTGGCTGGGACCGTTGTGCTAAAGTCCACCATGACTGGACGTTTACAGCTGATTTTACAGGACAGTTTAATGTGTGGCCGTTTATTTTAGGTCACCGTAAATATCATAAATGTACTAGCATTACAGACACTTTTTAACAGAATCTCTAAATGGTAAAGAGGGCATCTAGATCAGTTTTCAACGCTCATGCATAACACCAAAGAAATGCGCGGCTAATAAGGATGAGTGATAGATTTTATAGCTGCAGCGTGATTGGTTTAATTGCTGGCTGTAAAAAAAATGCCTCTCACATTTCGGTTTTGAGTTGACATAACATAGGTCAGCAAAATGTTTTTAGTTGGGTCAGTCACAAAATATCTTCAAATTTTAATGTTCAAAGGGCTTATATAATGCTTTTTTCTGATCTACATTGTATCGTTTCATTTCATTTTTATGTTTAATTAGTTTCGTTTCATTCACGCAAACCCTGCAGATTTACGATGTCTTTTCACTCAAACGGAAAACACTCTCTCCATACGCTGTCACTACAATAATTTGGATAATTTCAGCCCTAGAATTGCAAATCTCTTCTAAATAAAATGTAAAAGGAGCTGCTGACTTGAAAACTAAACCACTACATGACATCACAAGGTGGAATAGAGCGTTTTGAGCTTTGGAAATGTAGACAGACTAATAATAAATGATTACTTAAACATGTGTGAATGAAACAAAACGCAAGTCCAGGTATTTTTCACGTTAACCCCTTAATGTCTGAATTCAATTAGATGTATATAAATGTTTTTTGTGTGTTTTTGCCTTTAAGAAGATGGTAAATTAAGTAGAGATTATTAATTTGAATATAACAAAAGAAATAAACAGAAATTTGGGTATGCTGCAAATTTGCGACAACTAGAAACAAGTGCTCGCCAAAGGTTCGTAGGAAGGTCCTGGCTATCTTGGCGCTATCTCAGCTTATGTCTTGATCCAAACGATTTGTTACATATTTGTGACAGTCGGCGTTAAAGGGTTAAATTTACCTATCTCCATGGAGACAAATCGCCAGCACAGGTTAGAGGTCAAATGTAGGGAGCCCGCGACAAAAGATACAAAATTTTGGAATCAAGTTTCTATTTCATTCCCACAATATGTAATTCGTTCCCACATTTTAGTTAATTCGTTCCCACGTTTTAGTTAATTCGTTTCTACGTTTTAGTTAATTTGTTTAAAAGTTTTACTTAATTCCTTTCCACGTTTAAGTTAATTCGTTTCCATGTTTTAGTCAATTCGTTTCCACGTTTTAGTTAATTCAAACATTTTAGTTAATTCGTTTCCACGTTTTAGTCAATTCATTCCCACGTTTTAGTCAATTCGTTTCCACATTTTAGTTAATTCGTTCCCATGTTTCAGTTAATTAATTTCCATGATTTAGTTAATTTGTTTCCACGTTTTAGACAATTCACTTCCAAGTTTTAGTTAATTTGTTTAAACATTTTACTGAATTCGTTTAAACGTTTTAGTTAATTAATTCCCACGATTTAGTTAATTTGTTTCCACATTTTAGTCAGTTCACTTCCACGTTTTAGTTAATTTGTTTAAACATTTTAGTGAATTTGTTTAAACATTTTAGTTCATTCGTTCCCACGATTTAGTTAATTCGTTTCCACGTTTTACTTAATTCATTTCCACGTTTTAATCAATTCACTTCCACGTTTTAATTAATTTGTTTAAACATTTTACTGAATTCGTTTAAACGTTTTAGTTCATTCTTTTCCACGATTTAGTTAATTCGTTTCCAAGTTTTAGTCAATTCGTTCCCACGTTTTAGTCAGTTCACTTCCACGTTTTAGTTAATTTGTTTAAACATTTTAGTGAATTCGTTTAAACCTTTAAGTTAATTAGATTCCACGTTTTACCTCAATCCTGCGTGTGTTTCTGGTGTTTGTGGCTCTCTGCTCCGTTGTGGCCCTAAACAAATGAGAATTTCACCCACACTCCGAATTTATGAACGGTTTATCCTCAGCACGTTACAACACATCCAGCATCTCTACTGTGTATGTGTCAGGTCGGACTAATGGACTTTCGGACCAATGGGCTGACCACGAAGTGATGTGTACGAATTAACTAAAACGTGGGAACGAATTACATATTGTGACAACAAAATAGTAATTTGAGGCCACGACTTAGAATCTTTTTTCACGTACGTCATTAGGCGGACTCCCTACAAAAGTGTGGAAAGGAAAGTTAAGCAATAAAAACCTCTTGACATATAAACATCATTGGCTGAGCGTTCAGATCCACTGACCCACAAGTTGGCGGTGCGATTCCAGCTCCCACAGATGAACGCTGTTGTTGTGTCCTTGGGCAAGACACTTAACCCACCTCGTCCCCAGTTTTTGCGAACATTGGTGAGTGAATGTCTGTGTGAATGGGTGAGTGGTTCCTTGTTGTAAATCGCTTTGAGCCTTGAAGGTGGAAATGCGCTGTATAAAAACATCACCACATCACCACATCTCTACAGAGAAAATAGCATCTCTATGGAGAAGGAAAAGGTATAGAATGTTCCACAGTATGGCATTAAATGTATCTATCTTGCAGTGACTCAGTACATTGCTTTTATAAACAAAAGGATCTTGAAAAAACATCCATTAGTAGTTAAATTATCTACCTGTATGAGTGAGAAACTTAAAGTACTTGACGTGAACCTAAACACTAAATCGTTTTTTCCCTACTGAAGTGTGTAAACTGTGTTTGTTACCGCCCCAGGCCTTCCGTTGTAATTTGTTTTGTGTACTTTAAATTATTTTGCTGGCTGTCCTAGATCCTGTTGTGTGAGCCCTTGTCAGTGATTGGTGGAGCACTTTTACACCTGACCAATCCTGCCTCACCTCCAGGCTCCTCCCACTATTTAAAGAGAGTCCTAGCACATGTTGAGGGCTGCGGCTTTTGTGACTAGACTGACATTTTGTTTACGTGTGTGTCTCTTTCGTGTCAGTCACTTATGTTGTGCTAGTATGTTTCTGACTTTGTGTTTTGTTGAGACACTAGTTTAGTTATGTTTTGTGCCTTTTTTTAATTCGTCACTCGATTCTGTTTGTGGGTTTATGTGGTTTTACTTTGGGCACTTGTGATTTAGTTTTGTGTGTCCCTTAGTTTAACCACTCGTTTTTGTGTAAGCTGCGTGGCCACTTTTTTTTTGGCATGTTAATCCTGTTTTTGTTTCTTAGTTTAGGTTATTTTCTGTATATACTTTTGTCTGTTTTGTTAATTTACCTTTTAGATCCCTGTTAATTGAACATTATTTAATTTATTCCATTATCCATCTTGGTTTTTTTTTGTTACTTCCCTGACCCCAAACGAGCTGGGTCGTAACAGTGTTTTAATAGCATTATCTACTGTTCTTACTGATTGGCGATTTCAGTGCAAACTTGGTGAATTTGCAGCTTTCTGGTTGGTTCAAAATGCCTAAATCCAAGTTTGTGGCCTTTGCAGTTTCAAGTAGTTGGTGACATCACAGAAGACTATCCTGTTTGCAGCCGGGTGTTTCTGATACAAACACCTGGCTGCAGAGGTGGAAGTTTGAAGTGTGGATACCTGTTGGATTTTCCTTACATTTCCACACTATGCTCCTCCTCCTTTTTCACTGTTTTCTTTAGTCCTCCAGGTACTGTCCAGTTTAGAAGCTCTATATGAAATCTGGTCGTGGGTGGAGTTTAGATGTTTAGTCTCACTTTAATTAACAAACTATACCTCATAATGGCATACAATTTTGAAACGAAACAAAAATGTTGAAGTGACGTATGTATTTTGAAACAATCTGATAATCTGAAAATAAAAATAAATCAAAATTTGTCTATGAAAGTGAGATCGTATGAATCCAGTTAAGTATTTTAACGCTTTGGTTTTGCCTCGTCTCATAACACTGTCTTGACCTTTGACCGAGAATATCTGTGCAAAAAAGAGCCAGAACAAAATCATCTTTTACATCTTCGGCACATGTGGTTTTCTTGTTGTTTTTAGTGCGGACCTTGAATGCAGCACAGAGGCAGAGGCCCATATTTGCACGGAGAGGCCAGTACGAGCGGCAGAGGGTCCAGGTACCTGCGGTAAGGAGCGTAACGTATTATATTTTCTCAGCTTAAGTTTACATAATGGACATAAGTCTTTGAGGGGAGAGTGGAGAGGGTTTGAATGTAATTTTGTTTTCCCAGGCATAGAAATCAAACAAAAGTCACTACTGCTGTTAAACTATGGAGTAAGAAAGCTTTCAGAAATATTCATGTGCATAGGATAGAAATCCATGCATATTTATCTGTAGTTGAGCACAAAATAAATATTCGTAAACTCTCGAATGAGTCCAGTCGTACATAAAATGTATTGTGTGTGTTTTATCCATCAGAATACGAATTGAAAAGTTATGACAACAAGAATTACTATCACGAAATAAAAATTTACGATGACGCTTACTTCAGTACGAATACGAATTTACAGACGTGACTCAACTGCCAAAAATACATCATCACTTCACAGGCTTTATTTATTGAACAGAAGAAACATTGATCAAGATGCCAGACTTCTGCGCGGCATACGGATCAGAACTGAACCAGGACTAAACCAGGACTGAAGCGTAATCGTAAATTTTCATTTCGTGATTGTAATACTTGATGTCATAAATTTTTTATTTGTTTTCTGATGGATAAAATACACACAACACATTTTATGTACGACTGGGCTCATTCGAGAGTTTACAAATATTTATTTTATGCTCAACTACAGCCAAATATGCATGGATTTCTATCTTATGCACATGAATATTCTGAAATCTTTCTTACTCCATTTACACTGCAAAAAAACTAATAAACAAAAAACACTTCTATTAACTCATGCTTACAGTGTCGTTATTGTAAAGTGTATCCATAAAATCTTTTAAAACATGAATGTGGAATATGTAACTTTTCTAGTGTTGGGTGCATCATCTTGTCTCCATGGAGATGTCATTGCTTTTCCTAGAATGTTCCACATATGGCATTAAAATGTGTCTATCTCCCTGGAGACAACACAGCATCACCAAATGAAGTTGCAACTTCACATTGTAGCTTTAAACTTGTCTATCTTACATTTATTCAGTTACAGGTAAAGATAAAAACAGCTCATTTTAAACAGTTTAGTCTTATTCCTCTCTTACCTTTTACATACAGAGCATCCTAATTATTTAGTGTAATGAGTTTATAGGCACTTTTCACAACTCACAGACACCAGAGAGGAGTTTTGCCATCGCAGTAAAGCTAAAAACAATTAGCACTTCCTAATTATCGAACAATTGAATACTTTATAATTAGATGACAGTGCACAGTTGATATATTTTGACTTCAAGAGCTGCTTATACCATAAATCAGATCCTTGGGGCAAGACACATTTTACTCAAGTTAAAATCTGGTACAAGGACTTTAAAGTATACACTACTGGTCAAAAGTTTTAGAACACTAAAATTTTTCCAGTTATTTATTGCAAACCAAGTCGTGCAAGTCCAACAAAGAGCTTGAAATGGTACAAAGGTAAGAACTGAACAGACAGAGGTTAATAAAAGATAAAAAATAACAAAACAGAAGTCCAAGCTCTGCCAAAACTACCTCAGGAAAAAAGAACAAGATGGTAAAGCTTGAAAACATGAAGTATCCAGCACAGTCTCCAGACTTAAACCCCATCGAGCTGGTTTGGGATGAACCTGACAGAAGAGTGAAGCAACCTACAAGTGCCACACATTTATGGAAACGTCTGCAACAGACTTGGGAAGAACTTTCTGAATAATATTTGATTTCTGTTGTAGAAAGAACGAGTCACAAGTGTGTTCAGATGTTATATCTGCCAAAGGTGGACACTTTCATGAATCAAAAGTTTAGAATATGTTTTGATCAACAGTAAACTGTAAAAAACTGGAAAAAGTGTTTTGACTGATAGTGTATGTCAGTAAAGGACAATGAATAAATGGTAAATGTCACATTTTTATACAGCGCTTTTCCTCCTTTAAGACGCTCAAATCTAGGGGTGTGCAAAAAAATCTAAATATCAATACATCATATTGTTTAATTTGATGATGCAGTATCGATATCGTGGGCTACTGTATCGATATATCGCCAAAAGTATTTTTTGGTAAATTTTCTAAAGTATTTTGTTACAATGCTACAGTTTTGTTGTTTGTTCAGACGAAGAAAACTTGTTTATGTGACACATTTGACAATTTCACTGTTCTAAGGATTAAAATGTTTGTGTTTCATATTAACTTTGCACAAAAAAGTGGTTTAACAAAGACTTTTTGTACCACAGCCATGATTTAGCCTTTATTTTTTACTGCACCGTATTGAATCGATTTGAAAATATCGTATTGAATAGAAAGTGCACTGTATCGAGGTATGTATCGTATCGGCAACTTCTTAATGATAGCCAGACCTACTCAAAACGTTTTACATTAAGAAACCACTCAAACACATTCATACACCAGTGTACTCGGACACCACTGATGTTTATGTTTTGAGCAGGATTCAAACCACCAACCTTCAGATCAGTGGACAAACACACTGTTGTTTAAAGAACTATATAAACCTGTCTGAAAAGGGGACTGTGCTTTAGGAGTATGAGTATCCAAGTATTTTAATTCACATATTTTATTAAGTCATAGCTTGTTGTTTTTCTTACAGAAGCCCCACAAGTTCCCGGTTGGTCCCACTGTTCCTAAACCTGCCCCTAAACCATCTCCATCACGCTGCTCTCAGCTCACACAGAGCTGCCTGCCCCAAGACGGCTGCTGTGACCTCTGGGCCTCCTGTCACTGCCACTTCTTCAACGCCATCTGCTTCTGTCGCCGCACCACCCCTCTCCACGCACTCGGACAGTACGGGCAAACCTGAGCCATACCACAGCATCTGACTCTGATTTTTTTCTGACAAGTACAGCAATTGTGAATAGATTTGCGGTATACTGTGTGTTAAAAAAGCAGATTTCGGTTCAGACAGAACATTGTAATCAACTCCAGGAGCATCTGAGAGAAGACTGAAATAGACTCATAAACTATTACAAGAATCTCGTGCATTTCAGAACATGTCTGTAGTCTGAACTACAGGTACAAAAAGATTTACTATAGAAGACAGGATATTTTGTTCTTTGCAGATTTTCCAAATGATTGTAGATTTGTGATTTGATAATTACGCCAACTCAAATAACAATTTCGATTTAATAACCAGTATTTGTGTCAACAGTGCCTTACTCACCAGCGACAATCAAAGACTTTTAGCAGTATTTTGAGTGTTTTCCACAAACATATTACCTTTTTACTGGACTTGTTGTTACTTGTGATTACATTGTCTTCACTACAAAGCATGTTAGTATTATGTTGTTAATAGACGTGCTGCTAATTCCCCATTTCAACATGCGCCACTCCCCATCGCTGCCAGCAGAGAGAGACAGACACACTTCATCCAAGCATTCTCTGGACATGTGACTCAAATAGACACTCTGTACGAGGTTGTGTTGATGATATTCTGTAATATGAACCAATCGCTCTGTGGGTGATTCACTGTTTTGGAAAAATGAATCAGGGCTCAAAATACAAAAGCCATTTTAGTCTTCTGGTATATACAGCAGTCATACCTGGGATCCAGAAAACACTTTTTCAGTACTTGATGTGAAAAACAAAGATGTGAGTTTGGTCACCGGGGAATCTCTCAGATGGGCGTGATTGACAGGTGGATTAGCCAATCAGGGACATGCACGGGCCGTCTGTATCAAAACACATATGGGACTGAAAACATTGCAAATTTCTGCAGAAACTCCAACTAAAATCTGTGAAATAAAATTTTGTTCAAAATGATGAGTGACCAATAAGATCCTTTGTTTCACATTCGTCAATGAAATAATCAAATTTGATTGGACGATCATGTTTGGTTTAGCTGAAGACACGGTGGAGGGTGAAGGGTCCAGACTGATATCCCTCTGTAAAAAAATACACAGAGATTTCATTCTGGCCACTTTGTTTGAAAAGCGGTAGGGCCTTTTAAGGAGTAGTGAAACAAATTTTAGTTTTAAAAGTTTTTATTTTATGTAAATAGGTCCAGTAACTGACAGAGATATTAAAGATATCAGCCAAATAAAGCATGAACCAGGTTTTTTAAAAATCTGCATTTTTCACAGTTAAACTTGACCAGACTTTACCTCAGACTTCTGACCTGTGCTCCAGCTCAGTTTCATACTCTGGACAGACAGCAGCTAATAAAGATTATATTGATACAGTATTTTATTACAGTTTAAGTTTCTGACAGTGTGTATAACACAAACTCATAAACATATGGCCTTCTGCTGCTTTGGAAGTGCCAGAATAGTTAACATTCTTTGGCATGATTATTTTCACCTGGAAACTGCATCATTGCTGCATTATTTCACAACAGCATGACTGTGGACATCAGAGCACTGAGCCAAAACAACAGACAACAGTGCACAGCTTCAACATTTTACTTCAACTTCAGTCACTCACACAAATGTGCAGCTTTTTCAGTTTGTTCCTTACACATATTTTTATATGTATATCACAATCCAGTCTATGAAAATAAAACTATAACAGTGTATAACTTTAAATTGTTCAGTATTTTGGCAAATTCATATGACTTATATGCATGGCCTAATGTTCTATTTTGCCTTTCTGTTTTGTGTAAACAGATGCTAACTACAACAAATACAATCATTTAAAGGGCCTGTACCTGCTTTTTAAAAAAATATTTTAGCATTTTAGCTGAAATGTGTCTTTCTCCAGGACAGATATATTGTATAAGGAGCTCTTAGAAAGCATTTTAATATCAGATAACCAGGGAGTGCACATTAGAATTATAGTTATTGTTAGCATTACGTTGATGACAAAACTCCACTCCGGTGTTTGAAAGTTGTGATAATTGCTTTTAAACACACCGCTGTGAATAATCAGGATGCTACAAATGCATGAGGTAAGTGACAAATAACTCTGGATCACTGCAAACTAAATGAACAAGCTCAGTTTTTCACGTTTTTAAGATGGTAAAAATCAGGTACAGCGCCATTAATGAAGGTTTGGTGCTCTTGTTAAAGTTTTAATTTCAACAAAACTGTCAAAACAATGCGAGGACAATATGTTATGTTAAATCTCATCACAGTCCTGCACAGGTTTTTAATTTGTTATTTTTGACTTTTGATTGTATTGTTTTAAATGATTCTTGACTTATACTCATGGATTTCATCTTCCTTACAACATTATATTTATAGTATAGTATATGTAACATACACCAAAATATCGTGATATCGTATTGTCAGAGTTCTCATAATAATATCGTGGACTGTCACAATATATCGAATTAAGCTAAAAGACAGAGGGAACTACATAGACCATGATCCTTTGCTCCATTTCAGTGCAGACTACAAGAAGAAATAACAGTTCTAAGCACTTTTAAGTCTTAGTTGTTTGGATTAAGTCTTGTCAAGGCATTTTAAGAGGAAAAAGTTGCATATTAACAGTTTTAGCTGTTTAGCCTCCACAAAATATCACAATAAATATCGTACTGTGAGATGTACATCGTGAAAATATCATACCGAGAAATTTGGATATTGTTACATCCCTAATCGTGAGCTTTCCCACGATATCGCAATAAATATTGTATGATGAGACTTGGATATCGTTACATCCCTAATTTAGATCAATATTATATTTAGTTTTAAAGCATGTTCATTTTTGATGTTTTTATTGCACTGAAAAACTGCTGGCTTGCCCCTCCGCAAACCTTACTCCTGATGCCATTTGTCCTTGAGGAGAATTTCCACCTGCTGGTTTCCATGGTAATGCAATTTCTTTGGCTATACTCTTCGGCCGTATGGCACAAAACTCATCTATGTCTGTGGAGAATGTTCTGAAGTGTGGTTTTAACTTCCTCTTTCCATGGAGTCACTTTTTGGAGGTGATCAATAAATTACATACCGTAGCTTTAAAATGGATTTCACGTGGACGAAAACAATTACCACATGGGCCAGGAAAATGTGGGTTAAATCACAACAATAAATTTGCCAAATGTATTCCAAAACCTTTCTGAATTTGTTGCTGTGAAAACAATATTTGGTCTTAAATCTACACATTGAAACTGCTCTGGGAACCTTTATGTTTACATTATGAATGACGCGACTGCCAAAGACTGCCCTAATGTGCAGATATAGCTTTCTTTAACAGAATAAACAACTGTCCTGTGACTATCTGCTCATTTTGTATCTGTCAAAAGTGTTAAAGTCCAGACAATACCCAGAGATTACGACTTAAACAGAAACACGTGCAAAGCGGAAGAGAGCTGACCTTACCAAGATGGCCGACGTTGATCAAAAGAAATCTTATGACAGAGACGAACGAGCCCGATTACGCAGACTGACACCAGAGATTCAAATAAAGAGGTAACATCTGTGTGGGCGCGTCTTGTTTTGTTTTTCCTTCTTAAAGATATGTAATGTATGTTTATGTAATATGGGGATAACGTGGGACAACAGTTTCATGTTAACCTGGGATAATACAGCTGCCATCGATGATCAAGACACAAATAGGTTGGATTTAGCCGTGTGCTCATGACAACCCTAAGTAAGGAGTGAATAAATCAAATTAAATTCACTCAAAATCACAACAGACTCATAGCACAGCGGCATGCAAACTGGATCATTGTGTCTCAAAATCAACAGTCTCATTTAATAAAATCATAAAACATAAAATAAACAACCTATTAAAATTCTAATTAATTAAACTCAAGGCTACCCAATTATTAAAAAATGTAGATGACTTCAGTTTGTGGAGTTGTTTAATATTAATAATGCCTTAAAGTTAGAATTTGTGTTAGCATTGAGACACAAAGGCAAAGGAGAAATTCAGTTTATCAGTGTTATTATGTTTATTTAAGTCAAAAACGTTTCACAGTTCGTCCAAGCTGCTTCTTCAGTTCAGGTCTGACGCTGGTGGACACTGCCTTATATCTGTCTGCAGGGAGGAGCTAATTACAATGTTGTTAGCTCCTGTTGTTGCGTTTATGTTTTATGAATTCTTTCCAAACACACACAGAGTCTGGGCAGGTCCAAAATAAGTGAGAGGTGGTTTCATTTTTCAGTCCACACAATGTACAGTTTGTGTCCATTGTCCTTCTAAGATGATTGTTTAGCGGATAACAGCGATGTAGAAGTTTGTAGCAGATTTCCCTTTGTTTGTTGGTGATGAGATATTTGTGAGGTCATGTCCGTATATTTTTCTGTGGAATATTGTCAGTAGAGTCCAGCTGCTCACAACGCACGAGTAGGGCTCAGTTTGGGAGGTGCACTTGTGGTGATAGTTGCTCTTTTTTTGCGGCGACTCATTATAAGTCAAGTTTAATTGAAGGTGAAGCCGAATAAGTTCCTTTTGAAATGTTTTTCAAAGTTTGGTGCAGCGTCTTCACTCACACCTGCTCAAGCCGACATCTTCAGGTGCTGGTCCTGTCCTGTTTCTTCCCCAGTTTAGGCTCCTGGCTCCACTAATGACATCACTCTGTTACAGCCAATGAAATAGCGGCAGGAGTAACCCTGTCGTCATATCACTGATTACACCTCAGAACGTCTAATAAACAAAATGTGAACTAAAACATGTTAAATTTATACTAATGAGTTTGGAAAAATATCGGAATAAATTTATATTTTTGTTTATTAAAATAAAACGTCAAATATTGGTCGGGTGTAGTGGACCAAACAGAAAGGCAAAGACAAGTAAGTAAGTAAGTCTTTATTTATATAGCGCTTTCACAGATATTTTCTGTCCCCAAAGACGCTTTAAACAGCATTATTCAGCATTCATTCACTCACAAGGTATAAAAATAAGTTTAAATTTAATAAAGTCAAAAAAAGATATAATTTAACAAAGGCTCAAATTAGGCAAATTATTAACAAAAAAACTGGGCCCAACTGGAGTAACTCAAAATCAAACTGAACAGAACAAAACTAACCCAACCAGACAAAGGAACAGGTGTGTTTAAATACCTAAGGACCAACTAAATCTAAACACAGGAGGGAGGAATTACACTAATTAACTAACTAAACCAATAACTTAATCAAAGTAACAAAAAAGGAAATAATTATAACACAGAAAATAATAAGTGATAATAACGTGACCTGAACACAAACTAAACAAATTAACTTAGTAAAACAAACTAAATAGTGCTCCCCCCCTTTGCTGAGTCCTGATGGTCTCTCCCAGGGTCCTCCGTCCGGTGCTCAAAAAACCAAAAAGAACAAGTGTAAGTAAATTAGAATGTGTGCACTCAAATTAGAACATAAGTCTAAATAAAGGAATTAAATTATGTGCAGTGTAACTAACTTAATCTAAATAATAATGAAAATAAAATAATCCTGACTCTATGGAGTGGTGGCAGAGGTATCCACCACATCGGGACTATTTTGTCTTCTCCAAGTATTGGTTGTGACATGTCCCAACCGTCCCTGTGCAAACCTACGCCCTTGATGGATCCTACCTCTACAACTGAGGGATTCTACACACATTGAGACATAAACCTTTATCTTTCTAAAATCAGAAGTGTCCACCAGTGCAGTATTAATTTTATGTGTCTACTTTTAAACATGTTTTCATTGACATCCACCCCTTCCTGTCCATTTCCTCATCTCTAAATATTTATTTGTTTTAGCATGACTAAGCAAATACACTATCAGACAGGATGTAGTGACGCTAACAGGGTGGTTGCTGGGAACTGTTGTGCACTCTGCCTATTCATGAGTACATTTCATTTACCTCATATTAACAGACACAGACATGTAATTCTCAGGAAAAGTTTGATTAAATTC